GTTTAGCACTTGCTTTGCATCTGTTTTCCCAATTGTCTTGAATTCATATAAACTTTTAATTGTTTTGTGGATTACTATGAATTGATTATAACGAGTGGTTCACTATTACAGGGCATCGAAAGCATAACCAAAGTGTATATGCATTTACCGACGACTGATAACAAGAAACGTATTATAATCACAGATACGGGTGAATACAAAGCCATAGCTGAATGGCTTCTGGAGACTGACGGCACATCACTAATGCGAGTCCTATCGGAACGGGATGTGGACCCGGCCCGCACCTACTCTAATGATATCTGCGAGATATTCGCGACTCTGGGTATCGAAGCCGTGCGGAAAGCCGTCGAGAAAGAGATGAATCATGTGATCAGTTTTGACGGCTCGTACGTCAACTACAGACACCTGGCATTACTGTGCGATGTTATGACAGCCAAAGGACATCTCATGGCTATCACCCGACACGGCATCAATCGTCAGGATGTCGGCGCTCTTATGAGGTGTTCCTTCGAGGAGACGGTAGACGTGCTCATAGACGCCGCCGCTCACGCAGAGGTCGACCACTTGAGAGGTGTCTCAGAGAATATAATTATGGGACAGTTGGCCAAAATGGGAACGGGAGCCTTCGGTATGCTTCTGGACCCGGATAAGTGTAAGCAAGGCATTGAAATACCAATGAATATGCCGGGAATGGCTACTATGGGTACGTTATCTCCAGTATTATTATTAAACTGTATTTCGAGATTGAATTTAGTTTTTAATTGAATTTTACTCGTTTACGAACCCATAGGCGCCGGTATATTCTTCGGAAGCGCTGACTCGCCCTCAATGGCCGGTATGACACCGCAGATGACCCCCTGGGGACAGGGATCCACACCGGCCTACGGACAGGCCTGGTCACCGGGACTGGGGCTCGGAATGACTCCAAACGCGGCCGGTTTCTCACCGTCAGCCGCGTCCGACGCGAGTGGCTTCTCTCCCGGCTATTCGCCCGGTTGGTCACCACAACCCGGTTCGCCCGGCTCTCCCTCTTCGCCGTACATCCCGTCACCGCACGGCCCGCTCTCTCCATCATATTCGCCGTCATCGCCAGCCTATGCGCCGATGTCTCCCGGAGTGGGGCCCTCCAGTCCCACGTACTCGCCTACCAGTCCCTCGTATTCGCCAACGAGTCCGTCATATTCGCCAACGTCTCCGAAATACTCTCCAACGAGTCCGAACTACTCGCCCACCAGTCCGTCATATTCTCCTACCAGTCCCTCGTACTCACCGACGAGTCCGTCATATTCGCCGACCAGTCCTTCATATTCTCCAACCAGTCCTTCGTATGTTTGCTCTCTATTTGAGATTTTTTATCATTTGATTTCATGTTTAATGTCTTTTTGTATTTCAGATACTCTCCAACCAGTCCTTCCTATTCGCCGACATCGCCCTCCTATTCGCCTACCAGTCCGTCGTACTCACCGACAAGTCCTTCCTATTCGCCGACCAGCCCTTCCTACTCGCCTACCAGTCCCTCCTATTCTCCGACTTCGCCGTCTTATTCACCAACGAGTCCATCGTATTCCCCGAGCAGTCCCTCCTATGCACCCACCAGTCCCTCCTATTCGCCGACATCTCCCTCTTATTCGCCTACCAGTCCCTCGTACTCGCCAACGAGTCCGTCGTACAGCCCGTCATCGCCGTCGTACTCGCCCACCAGCCCGTCCTACTCGCCGGGCTCTCCGACATACTCGCCCTCATCGCCCAAGTATTCTCCCGCGAGCCCCTCCTACTCGCCCACCAGTCCCTCATACAGCCCGTCGTCGCCGCGCTATACACCGGCGTCGCCCAAGTATTCTCCAACATCTCCGCGCTATTCGCCTACCAGTCCCTCATACTCGCCGACGAGCCCTAACTACTCGGGTGCCAGTCCTGGCTATTCACCCACGAGTCCCAACTACTCGCCCAGTAGTCCGAAGTACACGCCCACCAGCCCGTCGTACAGCCCATCATCGCCTAAGTACTCGCCTACGAGTCCCACATACTCGCCGACCAGTCCTAACTACACCCCCACGAGCCCCACCTACTCGCCCACCAGTCCCCAGAGGTCTCAGTATTCTCCGACGTCGCCGACCTACTCGCCCACGAGTCCTACTTATTCGCCTACCAGTCCCACAGATGATGATCACGACAAACATTGATCTAATGGTGTGGACAGTCGTTGAAAAAGGGAAAGCCTTTGAATCTCTTTTTTTGTCTCTCTATCTCTTACTCTTATTACAGTATATCTCTTATATACACTTAATTTAGTTAACGATTCGTATTATTAGTATTAAATTGTGTCTCAAGTATATAATGTTATTATTTTTGCTGTAATTTTGCATTTTTTTGATTGATTTTAATCAGTCATTCGTCTCTCAAATGATCTGTTTTTTATGACACGTTTTAAACGTGAGTTTCGTTTTGCTCTCCGTTTATGTGCTTAAAAGTCATCTGATTTTCCGATAATTAATACAACTTTTTTGTCACTCATTTATATTATGATATAATTAATAGTATTTAATGATTATAATAATGATAATTGCATTTAATTAATGGTTTACTACAGTATAATATTGAACAAATTTTAATGATTATTGTAATTGATTTTTATAAAATTAATAAAAATATGATATATTTTAAGAAATGAAGTTTTGTTTTGTTGTTTTGTTATTAATGTTGAATTCATAGCGGAATGTAAACCGCATTGAGATTTGGTTTTTAAAAGTCATAAATATTTGCTCAAATATTTTAGTTTGTTTTTCGAGTGGAATCTGGTTTTAATTGAAAAGTATTTTATTTAGATTACTGTACTGTATGTGTGTTTTTCAGTGGTATTTATGTTGAGTTATATTCACGCGATTTTTAATTACTTTATCAATAGTTATAACTATTTTATTAATTAGAAAAATAGGCTTAAAGTAAGTGAAAGGGATTTTGGACTGTATTTTGAACTCAATTCCAAACACTTTTTACTGTAGAATAGTTATCACTTAAAAGTCACCAGGATTTTAAAACATATGTTTTATAATAATTGACTATATGTCAGGATATTTCTCACGCAATGTACTGTTATATCGCATATCCTAGTAATAAATATCTCACAAATTGTATAAATTTTAGTAAAAATTACATAATAAACGGTTACATATTTTAAAATAAATCTTAACTTTATTTACTAGTTTTGACTTTAATAATCAAATAAAAATTATCCGATAACTCAGGTATGTATCTCACAAACACTTATCTCCCGTTCCCCGTATTACGGTACTCTCATAACACACTCAAGTATTTAATTTATTTTAAAATCACCTCATATTTAAACTTTTTGTCTGTTTATTTGCACTTTTGCTACTTTAGTTTTACATTAAGCACTCAAATGTAAGCCAAGTTAACCTTAAAGTACTTCACATTATTTGTCTATTCGTCGTGAGGTTATCACTAAACTAAATGTTTGTGTGTTTCGGTCATCCCTTCACATACAGTAGTAATCCAAAGCACTGTAAGAGTATTGCATTGCATTGCACTGTAAGGTCTACTGTAATCGTATACACGCTGTCAGACTGTCAGGTGATGTGTGAGTATGTGGTCCGACAGAAACGATCGCACCGGTAGTTTCCGACCTATAAATTTAGGTTTAATTGATATGAAGGTTTGAGTGCTATATAAGTGCTAAATAGTGCTAAATGTGACGTTTTCGCTGTGGTTTATAATGTAAAATAAGTTTATTTATGGGAAATATACTCAAAATACTAGCAAAAATTTATGACTAATTTGACATTTCGTAACAATTTTTATATAGTTTTCCAAAAGTTTTATTTCAATCGCAAAATACCAACAAACAACTGTTAATTTCAAACACTTATCGCATTAAATGCACAGAATATCTGCGAATGATATGATTACTAGAAATCAAACTTTTTTATTATAAATTAATTTTCAAAAATAAATTTAAAACTAATATTTTTCTTATTGATTGCAATTCAATGTAAACGTTTGTCTTATAAGTCATAGATTTAATGCGAATTGAATATTAAAAACTTCTTATCACAGAAGGTCTCAATAAACAATTATTTCAATTTTAATATCAACTAAACTCAGACATATAGGCGCTTTGGGTACCAGCGCAAAGTCCCCGCTAATTAATTGCTCGGAAAATACTTGCGATAACTGTGTGTTTGTCTTAATGTTAAAAAAATTTTTGATTTCCAATTACAATAACTGTCTATTAGTTAATCAATGAATATATAAGTGATAACAACGAAAGCAATTGATATTTGATATGAAATTATTTTTCTAAACATATATTTTTCGATTGACTACAGAATCGAAGGCCAATTGCTTATCAATCAATGGGACGGTTAGTATAAGGGCCGACTGATCAGCCCCTACATCATCAGCTCATCACTTGCGACAAGATTATCGACTCAACACTATTTTTCGCACAAACACCTCATTTGTGTGCCTGACGTCTGAGCTAAAAGTCATCGCCAATTGTGTTCATCACTAAAATAACATAAAAACTTTTGACTGAAAAGTGAAACTTTTTTTTGTATTGATACCAATTTTGGAAATCAGTGGTCGACCGTCAAAATGCCCGAACAGAGCCCATACCTACCGGTGACTCATGTGATCTTCGATATGGACGGACTGCTCATCGATAGTGAGGTGTTGTTCGCCAACGCCATCGGAGTTCTGCTCAAGAGATATGGTCTGCCATTCATTTCATACTCATTATAATTATTAGACATTTATTATATAACACCAAAAGTATATCACATTTAGTACTAGTAGTAAAACTACTAAAACTAAAGTGTCCATGAATACTCAATTTGCTTATAAATTATATCGATATAAAGATAATAATTATAAATTATTTGTTAAAAGATCACTAATGTAATTCTTGACTACCTGTGCCCACACACACATAGGTGTCCCGGAGTACAGCATTGAACTGCAGGAGAAGGTGTTGGGAATGGAGGTCGAGCGGGGCATCCAAGTGATCATCGATGAGACGGGTATACCCGTCACCGTCAAGGAGTTCCGAGTACTGGAGCGCGAGATATACGAGGAGTCGATGCGAAACGTGCGGCTAATGCCGGGCGTCGACCGACTGGTGCGACACCTGCGCCGACACAACATCCCGATGGCCATCGCCACCGGCTCTACCATCGAGTCATTTAAGATAAAGACATCGAAATATCAACAGCTGTTCAAAGTTGGCGACATATTTAGGCACATTGTGTTCAGTCGCGATGACCCGGAAGTGTCGGCCCCTAAGCCCGCGCCCGATATCTACCTGATAGCCGCCCGGCGTTTTGTCCCACCCGTCGAACCCCGTAAATGCCTGGTGTTTGAGGACTCGGGGCTGGGAGTGGACGGTGCGATTAGCGCCGGTATGCAATGCATTATGGTTCCCGACCAGAGGTTTAAGTGCACTCAACGTAACGCCACACAAATCATCAAAACTTTGCTCGAGTTTAAGCCCGAGTTGTATGGTTTGCCCCCTTTTGACGATTAATTGACATCCCTGTCCCCCCATCTCCCCCTATGTTTAGACTATTATATTAGACTTTAATTTATAGGATTTTTATTTTTATGATAATATATTTATACAATCAAGGCAAAGATTTATCGGACTTTTTTCCGACTACACTTGTATTAATGTATGAAATTTTTATTTAGGATTTTATCATTTAGTGNCAACTAATAATAACAGAATATTCTGACAAAAAAGTAAACTTTTTGTTGTTGAATAAGAAATGAATTTAGTTTTCGTTACAATTGACTGTTTAACATATAAATTAAGTTTTATAATATACTATATTTATTTAACGATTAAATTGTATGTAATTTCTATAAAAAATAATTTTTGTATTAATTAATATATAATTAAGAATTTAAAGAATTTATATTACAGATATAAATAGTTTACTAGCAAGGTACGAAATAGGGGGTCTTAAATCTGTTGGAAATTATTGACCTATTGTTGCGATTATAATGAAAACAATAATAGGTTTATATGGAAAACAATTGCAATTAGACAATGGACTCGACTCTCAAATTGTGGGGACATATAGATACCGCAATATGTGTTGTGATATACCGTATCTGGCATACCTGTGCTTACATACCGGTGCCGGCATACCTGTGATATGAGTTTAAGCTGTCACAAAAATAATAAGTTTTATAAAAAGTTTTTAAAGAAAGTTTCATAACTTTTCAATTAAACAATACTTCGTTTCGCGATAATTCAGAATTCAAACATTAGTTAAACGATATTCATATCAATTATCTCTTTTAACATCTTAAGCCCTGATGATGGTCTCAGTGTAGACCGAAAACGTTTGGCTAATTTCTTAATTTTGTTTTTAACTCCTTTTCACTGATAATTAATAAACTATTGAAACACTAAAGTCTTAAAAAGTTTCATAACTTCTCAATTAAACAATTATTTCGTTTCGCGAGATCTCATAATTCAAACGCCAGTTAAACGACAATCATATCAATAATCTCTTAATAATAAATTATTAATAAATAATGCTAACTAAATAGTACTAACTAATATTATTAATAATTAATGTCTTATAAAATGTGTATCAATTGATAGCAAAGTATTGTCTAATAAGAGGCGAGGAATGTCTGCAAGAAGTAGTCAAACAATGAATGCACAGAAAGTCTATCCGAAAGACAGTATCGACCGATTCGGTGATGATTTGTGTCAACACTTATTGTCTTTCCTATCACTCGAAGACCGCTTCCGATATGAATGTGTGTCCAAACAGTTCCAGCGTTTGGTATACGAGACACAAACAGATTTCACAAGAAATGTGTTCTACCGGTGCTCCAACTACCAGTGCCATAAAATAACTGACAACACGTTTGACATAATTGTGAGAAAGTGTACAAACATTACACGAATTGAATGGCCATCCATTTTACAATGGTTTAATAATTCAAAGTTGGAGTCAATTATCAAATATTGCAATCATTTGAATGATATTCGTGTCACACATTTCGATGCCATTAAAGTGAATGCTTTTTTCGCAAAGTTTGCTAAACAATTGAAATCAATTGATTGGATTGAAGACAACCTCACAATTTATACGAAATTAATACAAAGGGGTGGCTATTATTATACTCAATATTATAATAAGCGGTTGTCGTATGTATTAAGCGGTGATAGAAATGTCGTTTTGTTTCAAAGATTACAAAAGTTTCGCTTTGAATACAAGAGCCACGACATGAATAGTATTGAAGTATTTGTGGAAAACTATGCAAAGAGTTTGAAATCAATTGATGTGACAATCGATTGGAGGTGTAATGAGTGGTCCACTGAAGTACTGATGAATGGTTTGTCACAAATGCATGAATTGATTGATTTACGGATTCATTTCATTCGGAATCAAACGAGTGATTCAATAGTGAATCAATTCAAACAAATCGGTACTAAATGTCTGAAACTTAAGAAACTATCAATTGGTGTGAATCTGTATTCAAACAAATTATTCACACAATTATTGCAAACAATTAATACAGACTTTAAACAAATAACTCGTTTGGGAATCAGTGCACATCTCCGACAGAAGTATGTATTACAAAGCAATTCATTGACTAATGGATTGAAAAGATTAACACATTTAACATTTCATATATCACTCATTTTTGGCAAAAATATTGCTCAAAATATTGACAATTATTTTCCGAGACTTCAATACATAACCCTTTCGGGTGTAGAGATAACGGATAGTGTATTGCATTCATTGGCAAAACTCAAGAAAATACAAAATATTGCGATTCGTAAGGGAAGTGAACGAAAGTCACAGAAAGTAGTCGATCTATACTTCAAAAAAGTGCCTGATAATCCAAAAGATTATTATATATTAACTAAAAAAACATTCAATTACAAACTCAAGTGTAAAAGTTTTGACCAAAAGTAAAAACAACTAATTATTATACAGAATATTCTGCAAAAAAGTAAAATTCTTGTTATTTAATAAAACTTGCATTTATTTTCATTACAATAGACTGTTCAAAATAAAAACATATTAAAAGCAATTAAGTTATTGTATATATACTGTATATAAAGTTATAATCTGGTTAACAGTAATTATAATTAAAATTGATATACAATCAATGCAATAATTTACCTTCTATAGTAATCTACATTAATTTGATATTAAATTATGAAATTCTGATATGAATCAGGGTATTTCAAAATAAACCACTAAATGATAAAATCCTAAATAAAAATTTCATACATTAATACAAGTGTAGTCGGAAAAAAGTCCGATAAATCTTTGCCTTGATTGTATAAATATATTATCATAAAAATAAAAATCCTATAAATTA